CACCATCCTGGGACATTGTCACCATCCTGGGACATTGTCACCACCCTCGGGCACTGCCGCCATCCTGGGACATTGTCACCACCCTGGGACATTGTCACCATCCTGGGACATTGTCACCACCCTCGGGCACTGCCACCATCCTGGGACATTGTCACCACCCTGGGACACTGCCGCCACCCTCGGGCACTGCCACCACCCTGGGACATTGTCACCATCTCCATCCGACACTGCCCCACCCTCGGGCACTGCCACCACCCTGGGACATTGTCACCATCTCCATCCCACACTGCCCCACCCTCGGACCCTCCCTGGGAGGTTCCACACAAACAGGTCCCACCTGACATGACAATGGGACATCCAACAGGTGACATGGCCTCCAGCCACAGCCCTGGGGACACACAGACATTCCTCTGGTAAGCACTCAGATTAAAACTGGCAGAGCATGGGGGGTTTGGGAAATGGCACGTAAATGATCACACTTTGTGGGAAGACTGATCCCTCTTCAGCTGACATCAGCCACGGACAGTAAGTCAGTCTTGAACATAGTGGAAACACAACAGGTACCGTTAGAGCCATAAAACCTGAAACTACCAAATCTAAAGTTTATAAAAGCAAAACTTGTTGAGTCATTAATAATTACTCTGCCAGGGAGTAAGGCAATATAAATTGTCAGATTTTAATCTCTTGATTACTCAGACAGAACAGCCTCAAGTACAGAGTGCTTTTCTTTGGCAAGTACACTTCCAAGACAAGACACTACAATATTTTAAGAAATGAAAAAAGACAACATTTTTAAAATACTTCACATGGCAGCAAACCTGAATACTGGAATATTGCACGTGCTTTATTATCAAGAGCATCACCCACACCCTCAGCCACACAAAGATGGGTTATTTTGTTTCCCAGTGATCATTTTCTGACCAGAAGGCAGACTTTGTGTCCCTGTGTATCCAGCAAGTCCAAATGAGCTCTCTCCCAGGGAGTGCTCCCTGCAGCAAACACACTTCTGGGTGAGGACCCATCAGCCTCGAGAGCAGATCAGAGGCAATTACTGCATCAGGCTGATGACACTGAGCTCAGGGAAGTACTTCATCCCATGCTGGGTCTCCCAAACACTGAGGATCATTTCCCTGTGCTGTGCTGCTGACAAGGATCCCCGAGCATCTGGCATGCTTCTTATGTTATGTCATCCAAATGTCTTTGATTTTAGCCACTATTTTGCCAGTATTTCAAGCTGAAGAAGTTACTGGTTTATACCTAACAGCCCAAGACAGAATCATGCATCAGAGCTGGCAGCAGCTCCATCTTCCTGGGCAAGATAAAACAAGACTTGGTTTCTTGATACTGTGTTTTATTTCCCTACTCCAGCTGCATTTGAAACAAGGTAACTTTTAACAATTTGCCCAGCAAACTGCCTTTCATAGCCTGCTCTAGAAGCCAGCCATGAAATAGATTTGCAGAGAAAGCTGGTAGTGCAACACTGAGTGAAATCCCTTAAAATACAGGGAAAATATGCAAGAAAATGAACCTGTGGTTCCCACAGCAACAGAGAAGCTGCCTCTCCGTGTATGCAGGTTAAATGATGCTCTGTGGTGTGATGGTGTGGAATATTCTATATTCACAAGAGGACAGTGATGGCCTGTCCCTGACACCTGACAATTCCATGACAGCTGAGCAAGGAACAGTGATAGATGGGAAGCACAAGGGTTATCTCAGGGAAGAGTGAGCAACTGGAATAGAAGTATCAGAAAAAAGGAACAGAATTATCAGAGAGAAGAGAGAATTTTGGAGAACAGAAACTACTGAGAGCCCTCCTGAAAGTGAGAGTTGCAATTAACTCTCTCTGCTCCCTGTACAGAGAGAATGATTGAAGAGTCTCTTCCAACACACCTCTCACTGGCTGACACTGAGCATTTTCACTTTCTTCCCAGGGACTCTTCCCTTCCCTCCTTCTTGAAGCATTTCTGGCCTAGTTTAGTGAGGGCTGTGCACCCACACTCCTGTGAGGGTAATGAGATTTGTTCAGCAGCACATCTGAAACGCCAGACAAGGAGGGCTCCTTTGCAGTGCCCTGTAATCCCGAGGAGGCTGTTTGGTAACAGCAGTGACACTTCCAGCTGGGAGCCCTCCTCAGCCCAGGGGCCACCTGCAGCAGGGAGCTCTGCCCACAGCAGGGATTTGGGGTGCAGAGCCAGCACCCCCCGCTCTGAGTGAGCCCCAGCCCTCCTGCTCGGGTGTGTACCCAAAAGAGGAATCAACACAAACCCTAAGTGACACAAACCCTCTGGAAAGCCCAGCTCTAAAGCTGAGGACATCACCCTGATGGAAACCCCCAGCTGCAAGCTGCTACCCGGACAAAGCACTGTAAGACTGACACACTGCAGCTCTCCCTCACAGGCACACAGGCAGTTTGTTAACAGCCCCTCTGTCAAAAAGCCAAGGATTTAAAAATACTAAAAACCACTTCAGAGACAAGATCAGCAACTTCCAAAACCAGTTTCAAGTTGTGTGTAAAATCAAAAGGACCATTTCACACCACTTCTCAGGGCATCCTACACAAACACGGCCTCAGGAGAGAAGTCCATCTAAAATGTGGTACTGAAGAAAACCCCACCTTATCCTGGGGAGGAAATTCTGAGACTAAAAACGTTTAACATCCTGTTTCAGTGGTTACAGGCAATTTTCAGCAAAGGTTTATGAAACTCTCGTTTATACCTTTTTGTTTGGGCTTGCTGCCTAGCCTCAGCTTGACTCTTGCATTAAGAACTCCCAACTTCCCACCCAAGGAAGAACTATGGAAGGCAGTTGTAGTGAAAGGAATCAGTAAGGCTGTGCCTCAGTCTCCATTCATTCTTTATTTAAAGGCTATAAAACCACCTTTTGCAGTCCTGCAGACAGGGATCTCCTAAGTCATTCACACACTTCTCATTCTTGCTCAATTTCTGGAATTTTCCACTGGAGCCCGAAGCTCCATCTGGTGGGTGTGGACACTCACTGCAAAACTGAGCAGGAATTAACTGTTTCCTCATCAACTTTGCTTCAGCAGGAGGAGTCCTGGGCACTGTGGCATCTCTGTGCCCCCATCTGAAATACAAAATGGTCAAGTTTTGATTGCTCTGGGAACCACAACTCCTTATTTCTGTTCTGATGAACAATCTGCTTCCCCAGGCTCTGCTGGGAACAACTGGTGCATTTTCTGATTTTGATGATGTAGGCTGAGGTCTGTTAAAGAATGCTGGTAGCTGCAGTTGAATGTTTTCTGAGGGATCTTTTCAACACACATGATAAGGGCCACATCAACTCTGGCAACCTCTGTTGCATTCTGAAAAGCACTTTGAAATCCTGTTCATTCTCTAGGGGACAAGAAATCCTGAATTAGAGACACTCACAGCCCCAGAATTATGCTTGCACACCTCCTGCCATCTTAGGGAATATCTTTTGTGACTGTTCAAGACCTCCACAGATAAATGTTTATATGCACACAACATGGGCAGCTAAATCAATATTCAATACACATCCTCAGTGTGAGAGTCGGGCTTGTTCAGGGCTATTTCTAAAAGATTTTGGTGTGAAATGCAATAAAGCCTGCACATCTTGCAGAAATTTGAAATCCAGCCTGGAGATCATTGAAGCACAAAGGATATTATTTGCTTACACCATGATATCCACACCTCAGTGATCAGGAAAAAACGGCTGCATGAGTATGCTCTACAATTCCAAAATAATCCTCATCTAGATTGTAGCTAAGCATGAGCAATCCCAGAATAAAAATAATTTTGGAAACAGAAGCATGATTAATGAATGAGCAGTTCCATTTAAATCAAATCAAGAATCACCTTTAAATTTTCAATCCAAAGCTCACAAAAACATTTGTGTAATTAAACAAAGCAGCACAGTAGTTGCTGTAAAACGTGCAAGAACAAAGCAAATAATCAATATACACGTAATTTATGATTGGATTACACTGACTGGGAAACTGCAGCCAGATCAGACTGCAAGTGAAAATGGTCCCCTGCCCTCTGTGTCGTTTCCTGACATCAGCACTGTGTCAACAGCCAGAGCAGAGGCCTGATACAGCCAGAGGAGTGGTTTGGGGCAGAGCAGCTCCTTCCCTCACCCAAACAGCGGTGCTGGGCTCCAGCCAAGCCCCGGGGCAGCAGGAAGCAGCTCCAGCCCTGCCCTGGCAGCTCCCACACAGACACAGACACAGACAGAGATATACACAGGCACAGGCACAGATACACACAGACTGATACACACACACACAATCACACACACAGACACACACACAGGCACACACACAATCACACACACACTCACACACACACACAGGCACACAGGCACTCAGGTACGCACACCCAGAGCACACAGCAGCCCTGCTGTGCCCTCAGCAGCCACAGGCACACAAAAGAGCACAGCAATACTTTGCCCAGCCCATCCAAAGCCCCGCCAGTGCCCGCTGTCTCAGACAGCAGATCCAGCAGATACTGGAGGGATCTCGCCAACTGGCTGCATCTGAGTTTTCCAAGGGTAAAAATAGGCACTGAAGGAGGCTGGTGCCGCTTGTTTTCCCTTGCCTTACACTTCACACACGCGAGGCACCAACGCTGCCATTACAACAGGAAAGGCTGTAAACAAGAGCTCCAGCTCAGTCTTACACTGCACATTTCTTACCTCTCCCCTTCTGCCTAAGCACAGCTCCCAAGGCTCCAGTCCCTGCCTACATTCCAGCGTTAGGCCACCTCAGCTACTGCTGTCCTCCATCTGCCTCAGGAACCTTCGACAGGCAAAGGCCTTCATAGCAACAGCAATGGGAAACAAAACAAAATAGAAGATCACGAACTTGAATTTGACTCTTTAGGTGAAAAAGCATTTCAAGACCACTGTCGTGCCCACTGAGACTTCCAGAGCCATCTTGTCCCCTGACTGCTGCTGCTATGAAGCTGCATCACCACCACCTTCCTTGGCCCAGCTGCAGCACGAGCACAAGCTGTGAGATCCAGAGTCCCACCAGGAATCACTGCACACAGAGGGAGAACAGGGTGAAAGACAGCATTGGCTGAGACCTGGCAGAGGAGCTGGGGCAGGGAAGAAACAGCCAAAAGTGAAGGCAGGCTTGAGAGCAGGCCCTGTCCTCCACCTGCAGCACTGGAGGAGTGGGAGTGCTCCCTCAGGGAACAGCTGCTCACACAGTTGCTTTATTTCTGTTTATTGTTGAGTGTTTTAGATACAACTTGAGAAGCAGACATTAAATAAAAGATTTTTGCCAAGTGATCTGCATACATCTGTAGGTGTGATGTGTCCACAAGGTCAACTACACAGGCCTTGGACTCCACAGCCACTCTCAGTTTTCATCTAAATAATCTCTAATGCCACCTTAAAAAAAACACCAAAACAAAACCCAGTAAGGATATAAATGGCGGTAACTGAAAGTGACTCACTGCAGAAAAAATGGTATTTACTCCATTCTTACTCCAAACCATCAACCCTCATTCACATTCAAGAGCACTACAGAGAAATCAGAGACACTAAATACAAGCTCCAGTTTGCCTTCTGACACCAGAGCTGCAGTGAAGCTCTAACAATGCAGTTCTTGCCTGGAGGCACATGGCCCTCAGGTAGATAAACAGGAGTTCCACCCTCTCAAAAGCCTTTATTCAAATCTGGAACACCCATCTGATTTTCAAACCAGACTTCAGCTCCTCCTGAAAGCTCCAAAGGAACAGGCCAATGTGGCCATCCTGCCTAGGCAGCAAGGGCATTCTTCCCAAATGTGTCAGGTGGGGCAAAGTAAACCTCCCACATATACTGAAGGTACAGGATTTCTTTTTAGTGAAACTAAATTAACATCAACAAGGGTTCTTTTTTCCAATGCAGAGACTCAGAGAAGCACCTTTCATGGCCATCTCCATCTCTTACACTATCAAGAAACACCACTAGCAACAGATTTATTTCTATGAGCAGAACTATCTCCCCATTAGAAATTATCCTGTTACAATTATGTTCATAGAAACCATACCCTATGTCTGTGTGCAAATCTGGGCACAGAGCAGCTCTTGACTCAATATAACAAAAAAATCGTGTGATGCTTGTTTAGATACAGGCCAGCATAGTCAGCTGCTGCCTTTTCAAACAAGCATGGTGTGTGCATCTTAAAGAAAATAATCCCACTACATGTAGCATTATTAATATACAAACTCAGCTGCACTAATGACTTTTAAAAAATTGTCAATTTTGCCCGTGCAGGTAGAGCAGCTCCAATGGCACCTGTGAAACAACACAGTGATCAGCTGCAGCCCCAGAGCTGTTCCCTGCCTCTCCTGGCGCCTCTGCTACAGACTTTAAACTAGTCCTCCTCAGATCTGATACTGCTTTGTTCATTCCCAATAGAATTTTGTCTCCCTTAAACACCTCAAGTAGTGGAGCAAAGATGACTTTACCTTTCTGAAAATAAAACCCCACAAAAACCACCCCAACACATTTCCTATGAAGCTGCTAAATGTTACTTGCAGCTACCTCAAACATATTAACCTAGGAGCACCATCTTTGCTTCCACAGAATCACTTGCTTCAATTTCTTTCTTTGCATCAATCAAATCAGCTGCCATCTTAATAACAAGCTATAAAATACACATTTGGACCATATCACTTATGACTACTGATAAGATTCTGATACATTTCCGTATTCCAGGAATTCTACTGTAAACTTCAGTGTTTACTTTCAGTATTTATGTTATTACAGTGTGGCAAAGCTGAGCTGGGAATTATCAGCCGTTATTCACCCTGCAGTGTGTGAGCAGCCCCAGAACAGTGTCCTGCCTTTCCCTGCAGCTCACAGTGCTCAGAACAGCACAGGGATGGGGCAGCACCAACAAGTGAGAACTCACACTTAACCCACGCTGTGGCACTAACAGGGACCACTGTGCCCGTGGCAGGGAGCACTTCTGGCCACTGGCAACGTCTGCACTACCCACAGAAAATCCACCACGCTCCTGCGCTCAGCCTGAGGAGCACACACACCTTCCTGGTGTGCAGCTGATGCTGAACGCTGCAGGGCATGAACTTTCCAAAACAGTCAGGAAGTTCCTGTTCAGTCTTCCTCTCCTGTGAAGACTTCTCATTGCCAACTGTGGCACTGGGTCTGTCTCACCTGCAGGCAAAGGAGTCACCTTTCACCTTCCCCAGCAGCAGCTACCTCCCTCAGCCTAACACAGTGCACTGCAGGCTCTTCATGACAACACACCCTGAAGCAGAAATAGTGGTAACATAAAGAGATGCCTTCTACAAACCTGTCTGATGGACCAGTGCTTCTATTCAAAACAAAAAAAATTACTTTTAGTAATGGGGCACTAAAACGGTATCAGTTTTCAATGACCTCAGAGATGTCCCCTGGGAGCATCTCATGTTTGCTGGATACCAAAAAGTCACTCTTGAATGCTAGCTAAGAAATAATGCTAAATTGAGCAAAGGACATCTAACTACCAAAAACAGTGCAAAACCATCTACCTTAGTGTCAGTTTTGGAGAACAAGTTATTTATTGTGTGTCAAAAAGGACATCTCTAGGTAGACTAAAGGTGGAAATATATGCTGTAAAAATCTTCAGAAAAGGTAACCATTATGTTACAACTCATCAGCATCTGGTGTGATTCTCTTAACAATTCTCCTCTGTTGTCTCCTTTAAGATTTCAGCACATACCATGGTAATGTTCATCTACTGATATCAAATTACTGCTCAACATCTGCAACTGCACATCTGCAAAGGAACCAAGCTTTGGTTTGGTTTGTTATTAAAAGCAGGGAAAAAAAAGCGCTTTTCTGTTTCTTAAGCAGACTGATCCATCTTTCTCACCTAGAAGGATGACAACTTGTGATTATGAGTTTGCAGAGTCCTGAAGTGAAAGTTTTCCAAGTAGGAGACCCTGCAGGAGGGAGCACTGCTGAGGCACACAAGGCTCAGCGGCACAGCAGCCAGCTAAGGTCGGTCCATGCTACCCTGACAGGTGGGCTAGCATGGACCTCACACTTCCAAGCAGAAATAGAAAATAGCAGCAAAAATAAATAGAAACACAGCTACGAAAATAAACCCCACAACTTAAGGAAAAGGGGGCTTTCTCTACAAGGAACACAAACCTCTCTGACCTACCAAACGGCCTACACACACTCAACAACCATCAACAGCTGGCAGCGCCCAGTTCGGGGGCACTGCCCTGCGGTCCCAGACAAAGCCCCTCGAGGCTCGCCCCA